CGTGGTGTTGAGGCTCGGGGGCTGAAAAAAGAGAAACAATAATCTGATTAAAATCGTTTATTTCATCGGATCCGAGTGAAACACACACGAGATAAAGCTGCAGGAAGTACAAATTGCTTCTTTTTTGTTTAACGACCCAAACAAAGAGTCATTTTAACGGTAAAAGCTGCTTTTTAGTTCTTACCGTGTTTTCTTTGTCCAGCGCCATCTTGTTCATCTCACTGCTGAGAGAGTTCTCCTTCTTCGCGGACAGAGGCGCGCGAACAGAAAGCATTGTGACGGGTTTAAAATGAAATAAGTTACGGTGTGAAAGTTAAAAGCAGGGGAGAGAGAGACTGAGCGGCTCCAGCAGCTGTCTGCTCCCTCTTTATATTGAAATATTGGCGCCGGAACGCAGTCGGCCAATAGGAACGCCGCTCGCGCTTGGCTCTTTAAATTGACGCTGTGACGGAGCCAATCAGGTGGCGAGTAGAGAGATCACGTGCTGCAGGCCAGCTGCGGGGGAATCAACGTATTTGTTTGGGCGAGGTTACAAAACAGTGTGAAAAACAATGTTACAAAACATCTCAGATTCAGACTCAAACACGACTTAGTTTAACATTAAAACCTTTAAACGGTGTTCTAAATACTGCCAGGAAGTTATAAGTCTGTGTTGAGACTGCCACAACATTAATGAACTGGTTTAATTTCATTTAAACGAATGTTTATTAGTTAAACAACCAGGTTAAAAGTCTGTTCAAACACTTTATACATAATATACCACACTGTTAAAATACTCATGTTCAAGTATTGTGTAGTACTCATTGTAGAGAAAATACTCCATTGATTAAAACCAAAAGCAGCAAATATTACATTTCAGAAGTTGAACCGTGAACAAGAAACCTCTTAATTTAGTTTTAATTAGTTTTCTGTTAGTCCACCCATGGTCTAAATTACTTACATATAACGTTGGATGGTTTAATCTATAACAAATCCTCTTAAATTGTTCCTATATGTGTCTCAAAATCTGAATTTATAAACTGTCCCTCTCTCGCTGTCCCTTTCTCTCTTTTTCTCTCTCTGTGCCTCTCTGTCTCTCTCTGTTAGTTACTTTATGAATGCATGTCTTTTATATCTGCTGTTTATACATCTGAAAATCTGTATTTCTGCTTATTTTTTAACGTAAATCATCTTATATTTCTAAGTTTTCTTATATGGAAGTGTTTATCCTATGTGTTTGTTAGTATAGATAATATCTGGGTGTGGAGAGCTGAACGTAAGGCTGTTATTGAACCGGACAAATGCGTGTTTTACTCTTAATATCGACAAAGCGTTTCCGGTTTGTTTCCCGCTGGCGCCAACTGTTGTTGTTATTGTCTGTAATCTTAAATCTCGCCACAAATTAGCGCCAAAATAATAATTGTAAACACCGCGTTTAGTTATAACTCAACGTCTGGAGGCATCGTTTGTATGTTCAGGAATCCGAAATAAAACGAACATGATTGTTTTAAAGCAAACAACACAGCAACATATGCTCGTATTTCCCGGGGAAACCAAAGAATAAACACACATTTAACGACTTATTGATCGATGATTCGTGTCACTGATCATCGGTAGGTTTGTACCTTTGATTAGCTCAGGGTTCCGGCTCTGAAACAACACTTTAATCTCCATTTTCATCAACAAATCAGACGGTGGATTTCCAATTCCTCCAAACTGAATTTGACCTAGCAGCAACTGTTTCCAGGTCACTGCTGAATGGAGCGCTCTGATTGGTTGATCGGGAAGACAACGACGGAGAAGAAGGCAGATGACGTCACGGTGAGAGCGACCCCTAGAGACCCGGATGAAAACAACCTGGAAGAGCAATTTTAGAGTAACAAGAAATACAAATATTATGTTAACAAAACTGTAAAAAATATCCTGCATGATATCTAAGACAAGGATAATAATATTTGCATCAATATTTGTGGAATAATACTTTTAATATTAGTAGACGGCACTGATTTTCTGGACGAGTGTTTTATAAAATACAGGAAAAAGTAGGAGGTTTTAAAACAATAGAAAGACAACTACTGAGCAAGACCCTATTACAAGACTGCAATCAGGGCACAGGATGAAATACAACAATGCATCTTAATTGGGAAACATGACGGTGCGTTCACTGGCCCTTTCTCTCTCTCTCCGTGAGGGTGCGTTCACTGACCCTCTCTCTCTCTGCCTGACGGTGCGTTCACTGACCCTCTCTCTGGTCCCTTGCATTTAATTGGGAAACATGTTATCTGCCAGATATAAAACTGCAGAGAAAGGTAAAGAAATGTGGAGATAGTAGTATTGTTAAACCTTAAGAACCTCTTGAGTTGCGAGGAGGACAACTTTAAAGCATTGTTTGAGTTCTTAGAAAGTACCGGGTTGATGAAGAGAATTTAGTTTTGTTATTTTGATTGAGTTATTTCTCTTTTTTCTTCCTTGTAGCTCACTGATTTCTTCCCATGTTTTGTGGTCAACACTCCAGTCCAGAAGGTGGCGGTAAATGCACATAAAAGCTGTTTGCCAACCACCATAACACTCCAAAGAGAAGAAGAAGGCTGCTTGTTTCCACTCGGTGTCTTTACGCAGGGGGACCGACGGTGTCATGGCTGCAGCCGCTGAAAGCATGAAGGTGGAGGTTGGAGGAGAGGAGGACAAACTGCACACCCTCAAAGGTCAGATTATAATCAAGTTATTATTATCAATTACAATAAAACTGCGTGTTAGGCTTCATGACGTCACCATTCCTCTCTGACGTCACGGTCTGTTGGTCAACAGTCCTGCTTCAGGGTTACAAAATCTACTTTACTGTCCATCTGTCAGTTTGTGTGTACAGACAGAGAGATAGAGAGGCAGTCTCCTACAGTCCAGAGGATACACAATACAAATACATATCAAAATATGTGTATATATATATACACACCTGTATACCCACTTATAGATATACATCATCAACATAGACACATGTATACATATGCACACATCAAGTAACTAAAAAACACAACAGTCAATATATATGTGTGTGTGTGTGTGTGTGTGTGTGTGTGTGTGTGTGTGTGTGTGTGTGTGTGTGTGTGTGTGTGTGTGTGTGTGTGTGTGTGTGTGTGTGTGTGTGTGTAGAGAGAGAGATTGTGTGTGTGTGTGTGTGTGTGTGTGTGTGTGTGTGTGTGTGTGTGTGTGTGTGTGTGTGTGTGTGTGTGTGTGAAGGGTGACACGTTTTAATATCAGTAATAAAGAATATCTTTGCAGCAGGTTGTTACTGCTCTAGTTGTCAATTAAATGCACTGTAAGCGTCTGTGTTTGTGTATATATATATATAAATATATATAGATATATTGTTTGTGGGGGGGTGGTGGCGCTTAATGCAGCATTCTGTACTTAAAGGTGGGGTAGGTAATTTTGGAGAAACCAGCTCGAGTGCGCTAGAATTTGAAAATACACAGCCGGAGAAAATCTGCCACTTCCTCACAGAGCCCCTCCTCCAACACACACGAACGCGCACATGACCAACGAGGGCACGAGATCAGTTTGTGCACAGATGGAAGGCTGACAGGTAGGTAGGCCATCCAGTT